AGTAAACTGTAAAACGTGGTCGAGAAACACCAGATTCAGCATCTGGGGGGCCATACGTCCGGCACAGCTACGAACAACAACAGCATCTTATAAAATGTCAGCCTACATAAAGTTCAACGGAAGATTTAAATATCAAAGGAACCATTACCCCATTTCTCTAATCCTAGGATTTCGAAAGGGTCAAGTCGATTGTCGCAGCATGAGACTAGTTTTCGCAGCAGTTAGAGAGACAATATGAAGAGAGCAACTGAGCTTTTCTCACCGATAAATATTTTCGGCATTGGCACCTGTTGCTTGAGCGGTTGCTGGCTTATCTCGCTCAAGGATGGAATAGGTCGATGGCTCTGTGCTTTTTCACTATAGCAAAAGTTACTTGGAGTCTCTTCTCTGGGCTATTCTCTTTCATTGTACATACCTATTTCGCCGTAGAAGCTCTTCCACAGTCGGGTTCCCACTCATAATGAAAAGTCTCTTGAACACTATTAGCAGTGCAGGGTTTGATATATTATCACCTTTTTTTTGAAGTATTGAAGTAAGAATTTGATATTACACAAATATAAGCTCAACTGCGCCAAAAGAAGATGAACAAGTTAAATACTAGGCTTTTGGTTATCTGCCTATGCAAAGTCTCACATTACAAATCTACAGAAATCACTTACCTGTCTTTGAGGACTGAAGGCAATACTACAGAAACTAGCAGGGATGAGTCCAATGCAGGTGCTCGTTGCGAGCGACGCGAGACTAGCAGGGATTAGTCGAATGCAGATGGCTTACAGAAGGGAGAAGCCACTGTCGGAACCCCCCTGGATCTTACGCATCGAGTCCAAACAAAGTTCTTTACAAGTAATAACCCATGTCTACAGTAGGTTCCCACTCGCATCCAACGAGCATACCGTAACGACCGTAACGAGGGAAGCGACGCTAGCACAGTTGGGCTTAATAATTCAAGGACCAGCTCAACTGTGGGTATTATGGCTGACCATCATCTTGACGCGATACAAATTATATAAAGGCCTACAGAACGCCAACTTAATTTCCTGAATTGTATACAAGACATAAACAAGACACGACTTTGAAGCCAGAAAGCGAAATCAAATATTTACAATAGCGCACTCAAGGCAAGTCTTACAAATGCCGTCCCCATTTCTTGGAGTCGAACTCTGGTGTCTAACATATGATATTATTTAGGAGCTCGATTAAACACCCATCTTTTTCTAAAAACATCTCCAGTGCAGAACCTAAACCTATTACCTTTCGTACAAGATGTCAAAGCAATCAATTCTGATTGTCTTGTCCTCAAGCCCGCAAGGATGGTACTTGGTATGACAACTTCTCTCATTGGGTGTCCATTCTTCTGACACAAGGCCACAGCCAGAATTTGCACACCCATACGAAGTCCTATCACCACATTTCGACCTCGTTGTAGCATCACCGAAAGGAGGAGCAACAGTCCTGGATCCTGTATCCGTCGAACTATTCAAAGGTGACGCATATTGCGTAGAGTTCGCTGAAACAAAGCAAAAGTTGTGGCTAGAGACACAAAGATTAGAAAATTTTCTGGGTCGAGCAAAAGAATTCGTTTGCATATTCTACGTAGGAGGTTTCGGACGTAAGACCTTGACTCCTATCTTTTGCCGAAGTCTAAATAGACCATGCTAACTTGTAGTTAGCCATGTTTGACCTTGTCGACGATGCCACCTCGATCCAGCTCATTCGAGAGTTCCACGAGGCATCGTGTACCGTGGTGGCTCTTTGTCATGGCGCCGCTGCTCTGCTAAATGTCAGACTCGCAGACGGTTCGCATTATATCGAAGGAGAGAAAGTGACAGGATTTAGTAACGAGGAGGAGATAGCTGTTGACAGGCAAAAGGACATGCCGTTTCACCTTGAAGATGCTCTCAACAATGCCAGTGGCGGAAACTATGAGAGGTCCAAGGAGGCATGGGCTCCACATGTGACTGTCAGCTCTACGAAGAAGTTATTATGGGGACAGAACCCAGCGAGCGCCCAACCTCTCGCAGTTGAATTGCTAAAGGCGCTAAAGGCGGAGAGGTAAAATGTGAAAACGAAGATATATAGATTTCAATAACTTATATAGAGTATCATTTTTATCCACACGTACGGCAATTTACCGCGTGGCTTGTCATCTCAATCCAAAGCTGCAATCTTATTGTCGTGTTCTGTTCTGGCCTCGAACTGCGCCAGACCCCATCGACAACCCCCGCCACAATGCGCCTCATAACGTAGGGAAAGTAACGGGGGGAAGTAATAGGAGTTGTGAAAGCGGATGCTGTTCATGAGATCTCATGAGGACCTTGCCATTTTAACTTCAACTCAACCTAGGCATTCGATGTGAGAAACTTCCTCCATCACTAGAAACCCATCCTGAACATCCTTTGGCAAATATCCGTGCCAACCCTTGTCGACTTCGCTACGCCAAGAGTGAAATAATGCAAGTGCCTGTGGCCTATCCGATAGTAGTCCGTTCTCAGAGATGCCTGCTTCATACACGTCAAGCTCTAGGGATTCCATTTTGCCAAGTATGTTCTGCTTCCAAGT